AGAAAGCCCAATGTGAAAAAGAATAAAAAAGGATTCAAGAAAAGCAAAAGAGAAAAAGGTGTGGAAAAAGTTGAAAAAGGAGAAACATTTTGAATTGCATAAGAACGAGCGACAATGTGTCTCTCTAACCCCTTAGAAAGAAGTGAGATACTCCAAGAGTCAAGAAAATTGTGCCAAATGAATAAAAGAAGTGCTTAAGGGAAGATGGAACCCATTTAGACCAAAACATTCCCTACCCTGAACCAAAAGCCTTCATATTGACTCCACAAAAGCCCTATATGATCTTGAGTTGAATGATACTTGCATTAGTGGATACTTACATGAGGGGCAAGCATATGGTACTTAGAGTCGGACTTCTGACCTTTCCTTGAGAGAGACGAGTGAATTCACATTAACCTCGATTTGTGTGATAATACTCTAAAAAGGTGAGGTTTGCTTAGGGAGAGTTGAAGATGTGTGAGTTTGGGTTCCACAATGACCAAAGTAATTGAGAGAGTTCTTTGATGTAATGAGTCAACTCTTAATGCTCTTGTGTCACACTTGATCCATGGTTTTTCAAAGTTTAAATGTTGTTAATGATTCATTCGTATTGAGGGCAATTGTAGTCCAAATTGATGCTTGTTGAGGTACTTGGATTTTCCCTTAAGGGGTGGGTCTTATTTTGTTTGCTTGAGGACAAGCAAAGGCTTAAGTTTGGGGGTGTTGATACCTAGGGATTTTAACGTGTTTCATGCTCCTTCTTGCTTATGATTTTATTATAAATTATTGCAAAATAGTCCCAAAAGGCTCATAAGTTATGCTTGATTGCAGGTTTGATCGACAAAGTGACGAAATGTCAAATATCGGCTTAAAAGGACTGAAACCTGCTCAAGTATCAAAGACAAGGATATCTGAGAGCAAAAAAGGCCTAGTGCGGCCACATTCGACTTTATGCGGTCCGCACTAGGTGGTTCAGAGATTTGGCAAAAATAGGCTTCAGGTAACGCGGCCGCAGTACACATTTCGCTGTCCGCGGTGAAGACTCCACGGTCGTGCTATCATTATGTGGGGTCTGCGGAAGAGAGATTCAGAGAGGTGAAATTTGCCATGGTTCAAGTTGCGCAGTCCGCAGTCATACTTGTGCGGACCGCATTAGAGATCTTCGTGGCCGCGGTCCATTCTACGCGGTCCGTGGAGCCCAAGTTCAGAGAGCCCAGAATTGAAGTCCAAGAGCCTAGCGCGGCCGCGGTCCATTTTATGCGGCCCGCGCTGACCCTACAGGGGTATTTTTGTCCAGTTTTTCCAGCCTAGTATAAATAGAACATTTTGCCATTTTTAGGTCATTAGTTATTTCCAGAACGTAGCTGCGCTCCTGAGAAACTATTGTGTAGTCATTTTTGGCATCTTAACTTAGATTTTACGATAGATTCTCTGTATTTACATTAGCTTTTAAATTAATATGTCTTGTTCATCATCTATTTCTCTATTTTCTCCTTCAAGCATGAGTAGCTAAACTCATTAGCTAGGGTTGTGGCTCAACCCTAGAATGGGTAATTGATGGGTGTTGCCATCTATTGTTAGATTGACTATTAGTGTTTGTTATTTGGGTCAGTTTTATGGTTTAATCTATGAATTGGTGGTTGCAAACACTAGTTTGTGCTAAGTTGACTTGGCTCTTCTTGAGAAAGAGAGCCTAAGTCTCCAAAATTGACCCAACAAGAAATTGGGATGGACTCAAGAGAATTGATAGTCCCAATTAAAGGGTTAAACCTCGAGAGAGTAATTACCCAACTTGAACCCTAGTTGCTTGAGCTAATTTGCCTACCCATTTGGTCTTGATAAAGTCAATTGGACAAAATCACTCTCTCTACCGAGAGGTGTGAGAGTGGGTAAAATTGTGCAATGGTTATAGCACATTTCCCCAATCATGTCAATCAAACCTTAGAAGCATTTACCCGTCAATTAGCCACCTAGGTGAAAGTCACTACCCTAGTGCCTTTGTACCTATTAGATTTAACTCTAGCAATTTTCTTATTAGCATAATTTATTTCTAATTAGTAATTGATAATATTAGTTTGTTAAAGAAAATTCAAAAGATGTTTGGAAGTGACATTTGGAACAATTACACAACTCTAGTCTAGATAGATACTCGACTCCATTCCTAGCTCCTTGTGGAAATCGATCCCGACCCTCATATCGGGTAAAAGCTATTACGACCCTCTCTTCCTACTTTTTAGTAGTGTGGAGTTGGTAGCGATCAACAGCACCCCCCACTACTCCTACTCCATTTGAAGTAAAAGTAGCCATACCCTTCATTGTGACGGTAGCATCCACACCGCCCTTCAATTCCAATGTCATACCTTAGGATTATGTTGCCGAAGCTAGGAGAAAAGGAAAAGCAAAAATGGAAGAGTCTGGTGCTGCACATGGGATGACCAAAACTGGAAGAATCTATACACCCAAAAATTTGGGAGGAACAAGAAAGGAAGCTACTACCAAACAACCCACCATTGAAACTGGTCCAGATAATCTCTAGAGGAAAGTACAGGCAAGAGAATACTCTATTGTTAATCATCTGAACAATATCCCTGCTCAAATTTCCATTATGTCGCTGCTACAGAATTCTGAGATGCATAGGAATGCGTTAATGAAAGTGTTAAATGAAGCTTATGTGCCCAACAACATCAACAGTGGAGAAATGGCCAACATGGTAGGGAAAGTACTGGAAAGCCACAATATCACCTTTCACGAAGATGAACTACCACCTAAAGGACTAAGTCATAAGGCACTGCATATCATAGTACAGTTTAAGGACAAATTCATCACCAAAGTCCTAATAGATAGGGGTTCAATCCTCAATATTTGTCCATTGACTACTCTGAAAAGGTTGGGTAAAGATTTTCATGAGATACGAGTAGGGAGTATGAATGTGAAAGCATTTGATGGGTCTCAAAGGGCCACAATTGGGGAAATTAACCTTTGTTTGCAGATGGACCCAACTTGGTTTGATGTTGAGTTTCATGTATTAGAGATATCTGCTACATATAATCTTTTACTGGGACGACCTTGGATACATGTTGCTGGAGCTGTGGCTTTTACGTTACACCATGCCATGAAGTTTAAATGGAACCATCAGGAGGTAATCATTCATGGAGATGGAAGTAATCCCATTTACACTAGTCAAACTGTCCCGGTTGTCAAGAATAGAAGAAAGTTGGGTGGAGAAACTAATCACCGCATCGAGCGTGTCAATGCAATTGAGAAAGATAAATGGTGGAGCAGCAAAATAGAAAGCATACTGGTATGGCTAGGGTATAAACCTAGCAAAGGGCTTGGGAAGAAACTCCAGGGCATTACCAAACCAATATAGTTGAAATGCCATGGTACAACTTTTAGGATCGGATATCCATATACATGGCAGGAATATGATGATTGGTCACCACCATGGCGTGGTCCCTATTACCCTCTTGAGCAGCCAGTGTCGCATTTGAGTCAGACATTTCATCAGGCCGATACAGTCAGGGGATTTGAAGAAGAGGAATATTTGGATGGGCTAAGGAACCTATTTCTAGAAGACGAAGACATGGATTGCAATGTGATAGTTGAGGTGGAGGAAGAAAGCTTTACCATTCAGACGGTGGAGAGGGGAGCATTTCTTAAGAACTAGACCACCACACCATCAAGGGCCAGACAAGTCCCGGGGTAGCATGGCTACTAATGTTATTTGTAAAACAAGTCTTTTGAGAATTTAGTTTTTAAAACATCTTCCTTTTAGTATTTTATTTTGGAAAACATTGTTTTGAAGTCATCTAGATGATATTTTGATTAACGTTTCAGCATTTATCAAATAATTTGATGTTTTATTATCGTTATCTTTCATAATTTTCTTCTACGACATTACTATTTCTTACCTTGATGAACCAACAACTGTGACATGTAATAAGACAATGCAACATAAGGATAGTGACTTGGAAGAAGAAGATGAAATACCTGAGGAAGTTATCAGAGAAGTTGAGAATTTCGAGAACAAGCCTAAGTCCAACCTGGACGAAATCGAGATAATCAATTTGGGAGATTCTGAAACTATCAAAGAAACTCGCATAAGTATTCACCTGTCACCGTCGGAGAAGGAAGAATACACTCGTTTCTTGAAAGAATATAAGGATATTTTTGCGTGGTCATATGATGACATGACCGGCCTGAGTACGTCCATAGTAGCTCATAAGTTGCCTACCAATTCAATGTGTCTGCCAGTAAAGCAAAAACTCAGAACGTTCAAACGAGACATGAGCCTAAAAATCAAGGAGGAAGTCACTAAGTAGATCAAAGCCATGGTCCTCAGGGTAGTTGAGTACCCAACCTGGTTAGCCAACATTGTACCAGTTCCAAAAAAAGATGGGAAAGTTAGGATGTGTATTGACTATAGGGATTTAAACGAAGCAAGTCCCAAGGACGATTTCCCACTATCGAACATACACATTCTAATCGACACTTGAACCAAGCATGAATTCCAATCCTTTCTAGATTGCTTCGCAGGTTATCATTAAATTTGGATGGACGAAGAAGACGCAGAGAAACAGCTTTCATTACACCATGGGGAGTGTATTGCTACAAAATGATGCCATTCGGTCTGAAGAATGCTGGGCCACCTATATGAGGGCCATGACGACCATCTTCCCTGATATGATACAAAAGGAAATAGAGGTATATGTTGACTACGTCATCATCAAATCCAAGAAAGCCACAGATCACATAGCAGACTTGAGGAAGTTCTTTGACTGGCTACAGAAGTACAATTTAAAACTGAACCCCGCAAAATGTGCATTCGAGGTTCCTGCCAAAATATTGTTGGGATTCATCGTCAGTTGTCGAGGAATCGAGTTGGACCCGTCAAAGGTTAATCTATCCAAGAATTACCCGCACCGAAGAACAACAAGGACGTGATGAGTTTCCTAGGATGCCTCAATTACATTAGTGACTTCATAGCACAGTCCACAGTAATATGTGAACCAATCTTCATAATGTTGAAGAAGGATGCTGCAACCAGTTGGAACGAGGATTGTCAGAAGGCTTTTTACAAAATCAAGGAATACATGTCCACACCGCCAGTCCTAGTCCTGCTGGAACGTGGGAGACCTTTGCTACTCTATTTGTCTGTACTAGATAGGGCTTTCGATTGTATTTTGGGACAACATGATGAGACGAGAAAAAAGGAACAAGCTATATATTACTTGAGTAAGAAGTTCACACCTTATGAAGCACAGTACTCTCTGCTAAAACGTATTTGGTGTGCTTTGACATGGACAACTCAGAAATTGAGGCATTACTTCTATGCCTATGCCACATACCTCATATCAAGGATGGGGTCTCTGAAGTACATCTTTCAAAAGCCAATGCCAATCAGGAAGTTGGCCAAGTGGCAAATATTGGTGAGTGAGTTTGATATCATCTATGTAACTCAAAAGGCAATCAAAGGACAAGCGTTGGTAGAGCATCTTACTGAAAATCCTGTATAAGGAGAATACAAACCACTCAAAATGTATTTTCCTGATAAAGAAGTGTCATTTGTAGGAGAGGGCATTGCTGAAGCCTATGACAGTTGGAGAATGTTTTTCGACGGAGCTGCAAAGAGTGGGTATTCGAGCAGTTTTGGTGTCAAAGACAGGTCAACATTATCCGATATACGCAAAGCTTAGGTTTCTATGCACCAACAATATGGTAGAATATAAGGCTTGCATCATGGGGCTCAATTTGGCCATCGACATGAATATACAAGAGTTGTTGGTAATTGGAGATTCGGATCTTCTAATACATCAGGTAAAAGGAGAATGGGCTACGAAAAACACCAAGATACTACCATACTTGTATCATGTGCAAGAACTAATAAAGAGGTTCACGAAACTGATAAAGAGGTTCACGGATAAGAATTCCATTGATCCCATTCCAGTAAGGATCCATAGTCAGCCAGCTTATTGTGCTCATGTTGAAGAAGAAACAGACGGAAATCTATGGTTCCACGACATCAAGGAATATTTGGCGAAATGAGAGTACCCAAAGCGGGCGAACCATACTCAGAAATGCACACTGCGGAGGCTATCCAATCATTTCTTCCAAAGCAAAGGAATTTTGTATAGAAGAACACCTGATCTAGGACTATTAAGGTGTGTTGACGCCAAAGAAGCTTCCAAATTTCTCGTGTAAATACATGCTGAAACCTACGGTCCACATATGAACGGTTTTTTTCTAGCCAAGAAGATACTCAGATCCGGATACTTTTGGACGACTATGGAAATAGATTGCATCCGGTACATCAAGAAATGCCACCAATGCCAAATACATGCAGATATGATACGAGTTCCGCCAAACGAACTCAATGCAACAAGTGCACCTTGGCCTTTTGCTGCTTGGGGAATGGATGTCATTGGTCTGATCAAACTCACTGCTTCAAACGGGCACAGGTTCATTTTAGTGGCCATTGATTACTTTACAAAATGGGTAGAGGCTACATCTTACAAAGTTGTAACCAAGAAAGTCATCGCAGATTTTGTCAGGGATCGTATTTTTTGTCGATTCGGGGTTCCAGAGTCCATTATTACTGCCAATACCGCCAATATCAATAATGATTTGATGAAAGCCATGTGTGAAACTTTCAAAATCAAGCACAAAAACTCCACAGCTTATAGGCCTCAAATGAACGGAGCCGTGGAAGCTGCCAACAAGAACATCAAGAAGATACTGAGGAAAATGATAGAGAATCACAAGCAATGGCACAAGAAGTTACTTTTTGCCTTATTGGGATACCGTACCACAGTCCGCACATCAACCGGGGCAACTCCCTATTTGCTGGTTTATGGTACCGAAGTTATCATTCCCACCGAGGTAGAAATTCCTTTTTAAGAATAATACAAGAAGTTGAACTTAGTGATGCAGAATGGATAAGGAGCCGTTATGAGCAATTAGCCCTCATAGATGGAAAAAGGATGAATGCAGTGTGTCATGGTCAGCTTTATCAAAATAGAATGTCTAGAGCTTTCAACAAAAGGGTCAAACCAAGACAGTTCACACCGAGGCAGCTGGTGCTGAAGCGGATCTTTCCACATCAAGATGAAGCCAAAGGAAAATTTTCACCTAACTGGAAAGGTCCTTACATGGTTCACAGGGTACTAACAGGAATAGCACTCATACTTGCAGAAATGGACGGTGAAGTTTAGCAAAAGCCTATCAATTTGGACGCAGTTAAGAGATACTATATTTAAATTGTTCACATTTCTTCATCTAATGTAACTGAACTGCGCTTGACCCTATTCCCATTTAAGAAGAGATACGCAGGCAGCCCTGTGGGTACGGTCACATCTCAATAAAATTTTCATTTTCCCATAAGTAGAAACTGGGGCAGAATTTTGAGGAGGTCCCTCAAAATTTCGGAGCAAGTCCCACCGACGTCATCATATGTAAGACAGTCATAGAATCGGTTAAGTAACAGGGGCAGAAGTTTGAGAAGAATTCTCAAAATTCCAAAGCAAGCCCAACAAATTGTCACATACAGAATGGCCGAAGGATCGCTTACTAAATTGGGGAAAAATTTTAAGGAGGGCCCTCAAAATTCTAACGCAAAGAAGCCGCAATGTCTCTAAAAGTGTTGCAGTCATTAGTTCATCTAATTTACTTGATATTATATACCACTATATTTTCTAAATAACTCTATTTAATCAAATAAGTGCATATTTTTCGAAAACTTTATTTCTATGGTAGCCAGATGTTAACCAGGGCAACTCAAACAGGATTACCAGAGCAAAGAAAAACAAGTACACAAAGGCAGGAACCATCCTCCCCCGCAAAACTCATGATTTTTCTTTGGATGCAGGAACAAGTAATAACCACAAGTATGTGTGCCTTAAAATCACTACCTTCATAACAACCTGACCGCCAAGCACAAATATATCTCCAGCTAAGAAATATTCTACTCCTATTTGCTATTTGTTCATTGCATGAGACTAAGCTTTGTCTCAATTCTTGCATGAGGCTAAGCCCTGCCTCCCTATTTGCATAAGGCTAAGCATTGCCTTCTCTTTGCATGAGACTAAGCTCTGTCTCAATTCTTGCATGAGGATAAGCCTTGCCTCCTCAATTGGATAAGGCTAAGCTTTGCCTTCCCAATGCACGAGACTAAGCATTGTCTCCTCTTCTTGCATAAATCTAAGCCATGCCTCCCTATTTGCATAAGGCTAAGCATTGCCTTCTCTTTTCATGAGACTAAACTCTGTCTCAATTCTTGCATGAGGCTAAGTCATGCCTCATCAATTGCATAAGGATAAGCTCTACCTTCCCATTGCACGAGACTAAGCATTGTCTCCTCTTCTTGCATGAGGCTAAGCCATGCCTCCCTATTTGCATAAGGCTAAGCATTGCCTTCTCTTTGCATGACACTAAGCTCTGTCTCAATTCTTGCATGAGGCTAAGCCATGCCTCCCTATTTGCATAAGGCTAAGCATTGCCTTCTCTTTGCATGACACTAAGCTCTGTCTCAATTCTTACATGAGGCTAAGACCTACCTCCTCAATTGCTTAAGGCGAAGCATAGCTTTCCCATTGCATGAGACTAAGCTCTGTCTCAATTCTTGCATGAGGCTAAGCCATGCCTTCTCAATTGCATAAGGCTAAGTTTTTCTTTCCCATTGCACGAGACTAAGCATTGTCTCATCTTCTTGCATGAGGCTAAGCCCTGCCTCCCTATTTGCATAAGGCTAAGCTCTGCCTTCCATTGTATGAGACTAAGCATTGCTAAGCATTGCCTTCCCCTACATGAGACTAAGCACTGTCTCTCTTTCTCGCATGAGGCTGAGCGTTGCCTCCCCATCTGCATAAGGTTCAGCTCTGCCTTTCATTATCTCATGATTGAACGTTACCCTATCTGAAACCAACACTATTTTACCTTTTCTGTGGATAAGCTCTGCCCCAATCCTATACAAGACTAAGCTCTGTCTTGTTTTGCTCATATGATCCATCATGTCTATATCCAAAGACGTCATAATCTGAAGGCATCATCCTCACAGCCTTAAGACACCATGTCATGGCCTGAGGATCTCTCAATATTGCACATCATTATTCAAAGTCGTCATGGTTCGAAGGCACCATTATCATGGCCCGAGAACATCATTTCATGGCCTGCGAATCCCTTATCTCACGATTCATGGCCCAGGACGTCATGGTCTAAGGATATCATCCTCACAGTCCAAAGACAACCTTCATGGTCCAAAGGGAGTGTGCATCATGTTTAAATTTTCGCAATAATCCATATATATTTGCACGCATCATGTTTTAAGTTTTGCAGGTAATTCAGGAGTTAACCGTTCTTTAAACAGGAGCAACCTTCACTCCGGTTTCCGCTCATACCATTCACACTCAGCCATTATTCCAGACATAACCGACTCCTATCAATTACTCGCCTTTACTTTATGAACGTTCAGATATATGCCCTGTGATACATCTGTTACGCTTCAGATTCACATTCATAACTCCGCATAAATTCATCCGATATTATTCCTCCCAAAAGAACCCTTTCCAAAACACATGACTATTCCTATAACAATTCCATCGGTTCCATTCACCGTTGGGTCCAGAACTACACACGGCCTAATTCCTATAAAACCAGGGATATGTAGGCAGCTCAGATCAGGGTGCGGCCTATATTTTTTAAAACACCGCATTCGGTCAAAATCGGTCATCATTTCTTTACCCGATAACTCTTTCATCCTTCTTGGGTAAACAGGGGCAGTTGTTGATACCCATTTTTCCCTTACATATTTTAAACATACATATATACTTTCAAAATAGTGCATGAGCATCATCACATATTGTTCCTAATTTTTCCATAATTTTTAAAGTTTTATTAATCAATTTATTCCCATATTTTATTGCATAAATAACCATTAATTGCATCAAAAATTATTTTTTATGATGATTTAATCATCTAAATTCATAATTTATGCTAACATAGTGTTTAAATATTTTAGTGCATTTTTATAATTACATTTGTATTTTTTAGGCGAAATTGCACACATGTGCAATAATAGCCTATATTAATGTATAATTACATTATTTATGCAGAAAATGATCTTTTATAATGTTAAACAACTATTTCAAATCATTTTAGTGCACAAAGGATATCTTTGGTATTCATTTATTATTTTTATAAAATTATTTATTTGTTAAAATTGGGTATTTATAATATGTCCTTATTTTTATTTAAATTCGGACCTAGAATTACCCAAACCAACCCAAGTTATCTAGCCCAATTACCCTAAGCCCAAACCAAACAACCCCTTGCTAAACTCGGTCGGTACCCGCCTAGCCAACCTGACCTAGTCTCTTCTAAAAATCCCGGTCGTTGATCTTTAAGATCAAATGATCAACGGCTCACATATAACCCCCACCCCTTTAATTACCCAAAATCCTTAACCTCAACCCATTTCTCACCACCCGCCACCCCTAAATGCTCTCTACTCCTCTCCTCTCTTCTATCAAACCCTAGCATCGTCACCCTCAAATCTCTCTGATTCCAACCCCAAAAATGGAATCAATCTATGATTCCTTTACCATATTAGTCCCACCTCCCTACAGGCTACCCGCTTTTGGTATTACATAATGGCTTGCCTAAAAGGACAAGCAGATCTTATGGGAATCGAACCAAAACTGGT